AAAAAAAAAAAAAAAAAAAAAAAAGTTATTGTGATTACTAACATATTAATGGCAGTGGTTGGCTGTGGGCTGGGGCTGTTTTGGAGAGAGAGGGGCTGGATGGGAGCTGTCCGTGGTTCTACATTCATTCAGCCAAGAAGACAATTTCGCTGACCTGATTAACATTGGTCAGGTGCTGTCCTAGGCACCAGATGCCTCAGGCAAATGGAAAGCCCTTTGTGTGGATTCTCAGAGTGTCTCTGGGGTACCTAGGTGAGATATGTGGTAGTTAGATATGTGTGGTAGTTTTGCCAGTGAGCACGGGCCATCTGGTGGCTGACATGCCTGCAGCTCTCCTGGTGGACCTGCTGTAAGAAGGCGCTGGGGTGGACCTAGGGAGGAGCTGGCTTCCCCAGAACTCCCAAAGACACCAAAGTGTACCCTGCTCCCACCTGTATCCCCAGCCCAGCCCAACAGAGCAGAATAAATCTGAGCCCAGAGCTGAGCTGCTCCCCTGCCGGGCACTCCAAACTAATTTTCTGGTACATTATATACTTGGCCTTTTGAACAATCAATGGCCTTAAATGCTGTTTGGTTCCTGCAGCCAAATCCAAGAGAAATAAGACATAATCCATCTGGCTGATATGACTGGAGCAAGGCGGGAAAGAGAGAGAAAGACAGAGCCTGGAGCCGCCAAGGGGGCCTCTGCTGGGCTCAGGGAGGGTGGAGGAATTGGAGGGACCTGCCAGCTTTCCGGAATGAGCCTTTAAGAGATATTGATGGCCGGCTAATCACAGCCCCGTTTGTCTCCATGCCACCCGCCCACTCAAGCCATCACTTTCTGAAAGCTGAGCTCTGTGGGGAGGCTGGGATAAGGCTCAGGACTGGGGTGTAGAGGAAAGGCCCAGCCCTTGCTGCAGACATCCTTGAACCCTAAACTAGTGGGTTTACCGTGGATCTTGGTGTGGAGTTGGATTTTGGACATAGAAGCCCTGGGATAGCAGCAGACAGGGAATCCCTGGGAGCAGAGGTTGTTTGGAAGGACCCACAATGGCAAGGCAGTGACACCATGATCTCCACAGGTCCTACTGGGTTCAGCCCACAGAAGGTGGAGTGTGAGAAAGGGGTTGAGGGAGGAGGTGCTTGACTTGGTTTTTCCTGAAGGTTATTCTGCACATCGAGGGGGAGAGCAGAAACGTCCTTCTCCAGGGCCTGTGCTCGCCCTGAGGCCAAGACTCCTGGGAGGACAAACAGCTGGGTAGTAGCCTTGGACAGTCCGTCTAGGGGGACTGCATCCCAAACATGCTCAGCTTTTCTCTCTACCTCTTGCTTTTTTTCCTTCTTAGGAGAGGTGGGGAGAGTGAGGTGCTGGCCCAGGATTCAATCTACCCATCTGCCTCTAGGAATGGTCACTGTCTGGATCAGGTAGGCGGAGGATGCAGAGCTCACTGGATCCAGGGCCTTGGGCCATTTTCCTTTCCCACTCTAAAGGTGGGAGAGATGACACTCAAAGCCGAAATCACAGCAGACTGGTGAGATGAAGGACTCAGGAAAACATCCCTCCCCCAGGAGTTATGTGGCAGTGGTTCCTCTGAGAAGGAAAGAGGGCGTGGGGGAGACAGATGGGAGGTAGCAGCTCTCTTGCCCTGCACCTGGCTCTACCTGTCTGCACCTCCATCCATAGTCACACACCTGGGTTGCTGTTGGTACCCCCTGGGGAAGAGAGAGATAGGTGCTGGGGGCGAGGCCAATAAGTTGGCAGAGCGGAAGAGTCAGGCAAGGGACAGGAAGCTTAGGCTGGAGGCATCGGCCATACAGAGGGAGCCCCCACGTGGGCAGTTGGGCCTGCTGGAGGCTGATGAAAGGGAAGAGGGAAGCCACCTTGGCACTTACTTGGGCTAGAGCATTTTTCCCTCCAGGTTTCTGTAGGAGGCTCCCAACTGTATACTGCCAGGATCTGGGGTCTCTCCTGTAAGGCCTGGCCCTACTTGGCTTCCTGGCCCCACCTGGCCCTGCTTAACTAGTGACCTGCTTCTACACATCAGGGCAACTCAATTCCCAGCAGCGGCAGCGGCAGCGGCAGCAGCGACAACACAGTGGTGGCATCAGCTCTGTGATGAGGGTGGAGCCTGTGCACCTCCCCGATGGGTAATTATGCTACAGCATGTTCTAGGGAGATGCGGGCTTGTCTGACAAGATGCGTGCTTCTTCCTGATGCCTATGCAGCTAGGGAGCTGAGCAGAGAGGCCACGGGCTGAAGGTGATGGCATTACTTGGGGCACCTGTCGTGGATAATGAGCTGCTGATCCCAGGGGGCAGCCATCCACTCATCCTTAGCTCAGGGGAGGGGCAGCCAGAAGGGGCAGCCAGGTCTAAGGACTCCTGAGCAGGAGTGCGGAGGAGCAGAGGATGTCACATACAGTGATCCCTGGTGTAGCCATGATGACAGTGGCACAGTCCTAGTGTTTACAGGTTGTCCTGTACTTTTCAAGACACTTTCACATTTCATCTTCCTCATCATAATGCTGTCATGAAGGGACACATCTTTATCCCTATTTAAATCATGAAAAGCCACATCTGAGAACACTCAGGAGTGTGGCGAAGGCTGCAGGGCAGTGGGGTCCAGAGCTGGATTCTTGCTTTGCTGGTGGAGGTACTTTCTCTAGGTCCAAACTAGGAATCCCTGCCGCAGCTGCGTCTGGGTGGCACAGCAGGAGCTCTGGGGTGGGGGTCCAGAGAGGGCCAGAGGGACAAGGGTCCCTGCCCGGGAGAGCTCCCTCTCACTCACAGGGCTGCTACCCCATGAGGCTGGGTAAGGCTTTCCAGAAGGCGTGGGCAAGTGCGGTTTCCACACAGCCACAGCAATGTTGGAGAGGAGGCTGCTGACACTGAGTGCCACCTGAGTGCTGGGTGTGGTGAAAAGACCTTGTGACAAGCAGCCCTGTGTACACCGTGAACACCAGTGAGCACCTCACGCATTCGGCGCCAAGGCCCAGAGAACCCAGAAAAGGTGAGAGGAGCCTGCAGCTGGCCTGGGGTTAATCAGGGAAGGCTTCCGGAGGAAGGCGGTTCTGAGCTGAGTGGGCTGGAAGGGTAGGCCAGGCAGCACAGGGGCAAAACAGACAAAGGGGACAAAAGGGTGAGTGGCTTGGGAGGTAAGCCTGGTAGCTGGGATGGGCTCAGGGGTGGGTGAGTAGCCCATGGTGGCTGAGATGGATGATCAGGTGTGAATTTGATACGCTAGAAGTAAGGCGCCCCGGGGATCATTAAGACGGGAAAATATGACCAAAACAGTATGAAATGGAGCCAGGCTGTGGAGTCTGGGGCAGGGCAGGGTGACACTCCAGGGTCAGCAGCACTGGGTCTGGCTTCCATTCCAGGCCTGGCTGTGGAACTCGTGACCCTCTGGTTGGCTGCAGGGCTTTAGGACCTTCAGCTCACTCTGCTGCCAGGTTGGGCTGCGTTTTGGAACTTGGCGGGGTGGGGATGGATGGTCCCACAGCCCATTGCCCCACCCCATGGTGCCTTCCTCCTGCAGCCAGGCCCAAGTCTTCCCTCTACAGGATACCAGTTCAACACTGAATTCTGCCTCGGGCTCCAGGAAAGTCGTGCTGCTCTGGGAGGATGCCCCGCTGCTCCTTCTGCTGGCTCCTTGGTGATTGATAGTGCGGAGAGGTGGGGAGCAGCCGTCCCGCCCTAGCGCCCTAGCGCTCACTCCAGAAGATTGAGAGGGTGGAAGCCAGCTCCAGAGTAGCCAAGGTGGGGTGCATGGCCAGGGAGAGGGCCCAGGGTGACAAAGTGTGGTTCTAGGTGTGATGGCAGGCTCCAGGGCCCAGGGGATGGACACAGGGGATCATGCCACTGTCTTAATACTGGATTCTTCTAAGTGGGAAGGAGGTAATATTTTGTTGCATAATTTCTCGGCCTTTCAAAACCATCCTGGCTGGACAAGGGTCCTGAAAGACTCTTGAGAGCTGAGCAGGAGGGCCTGCTATTGTCTTCAAGGGGAAACCAAGGCTCAGGGGAGCAGGAGGTGGTTTATTCTTAAAAGGTTCTACCACTCCATATGCCTTTGCTCAAACACCTCCCGCTTTCCTGCATCCCCTCAGTGTAAGGGAAGAAGAAGTTGCTTTTACCTCTCTCTGTCTCCCTCTGCTCTGCCAGGAATTTCAAAGGGACAACTTTTCTTCTCAGGTTTGGGGGTGGAGGGGACCCAGGAGCTATAGATACCTGTGAAACCAATTTAAAAATCAGTCTAGCCAACCAGCCCCCAAAGGAACCAAAGGGAGCTATAGAGTAACTCAAAAGCAGACACTAATGGAGGAGAAAAGAAATGTAGTTACATATTCATCAGCTTTTAAATATTCATGAGGAGTGTAAAGCAGATTAATTTTCATGCCTCATTTCTCTCATGGTTCCCGCTGTCCATATTTTACTGAAGCAGCAAAAGAAAAAGAAGCCATGGATTACTTGGCCACTGCCCTGACCACCACTTAAGGAACAGTGTTGTGCATGAGTGTGTGTGTGTGTGTGTGTGTGTGTGTATGTGTGTGGGGTGGGCAGGGAAGCAGGAGGGTAGTCACTTTGGGGGTGAAGATGCTGGTCTCCTAAGGTACCAGCCACCCTTCTGCTGTGTCAAGATAGCGTGAGGACAGCAGGGCACAGCAGGGCTCAAAGGTCGGGGCGGGTGTGGAGGACTCTGGGGACACCCAGGTGATTTCTGGCCTCCTTTGAGTGAAGCGAGAAAGGACCTTCCCAGAGTCAGCTAGGGTTTCATCTCCACTCCCCTAAACTAACTGCCTGCAACGAATGATTGTGCGAGGGGAGTAGCAGAGGAAAGGGCAGGCAGTGAAGGAGAAAGGGGTACAGGAGACACCAAATAACAAAGACAGGAAGAAGTGGAGCTGCCGGAAACACCGTGGAAAGTGTAGGTGAAAGGATGAACTTTCCAGCTAGAGGGCAATTAGAGTGTTAGGATGAAGGGACACAGGGCAAAAGCAATAGGATGGAGGTTAGATTTCTGCACTTGATCTTAGTCAAAAGGCCGAGAAGCGACTAAGGTTATACTGGAAGGACTTTCACATCTCAGGACCTCCTCTCTATAGGTAATGGGAAAAATGTGCCTCTGGGTCATATACCAGCTGTGAGACACAGTGAAGAAGAATAGCTGGAGCCAGAAGTGTGCCAGAGACTGTTTTGGAAACACAGCCAACGAGTGTTCTGGCAGCAGGACATCTGCAGGGTGTCCAATGAGCCATCCCAAGAGCCATGGGCAGCAAATATCCTTGTCCAGAGTCATGAGTGAGAAGGAGAGGGTTATGTGACGTGCAGGATGGAGATTTTGGGAGCACCTGGACTGTGGTCCTCGGGCAGTGATGCAATCTGCTTAAAATACGATCTGGTTAGCAGCTGACTGCCTTTAGTGGTTTGGACCAAGGATGGAGGAGCTGGCCTGCAGAAGGGCCAGCTTGGGGGTCATCTCCGGCCACCTTCTGAGATGCAGAGTGCTCAGGTTTCTCCCTGGGACACATGGGCATCACTAGGCAGGACTCTCTAGGGTTCCTCCCACTTCCTTCCCCCCCATGCTCTCTTGGATCTCCCCAGGGAATCCTACCTTGTATGTGTGCCCGTTTGTGTACAGCTCCACTTGGATGTTCAGGAAAAATCTCAAACTTCACCTGTCCGCAGTTAAGATGTCCACAGCTGCAACCTCCCGTGTCAAGCCAATGGCAACTCCATTAGTAGTAGTCCCAGCTCCTGAGGCCAGGCAACTTAGGAGCAGCCCTCTAACCCTCCCTGCACCCATCCTTCACCATGATACTCAGAATCCCAGTACTTCTCACTACCTCTTGCCAGGCTCCCACCCAGGTCCAGGATCCCACCTTCTGCTGTCTTGATTATTGCAGTAGCTGTCCCCCACTCTGCCCTCCAAGTCCATTCTTGACACAACAGCCAAAGAGAGACATTTGCAATGGCAGATTGTGCCCTGTTCTATGTGTGTGTGTTACTAGGGATTGAACCTAGGACTTTCACACTGAACTACACACTTAACCCTTATTTTTCATTTTGAGACAGGGTTTCACTAAGTTGCTAAGTTGCCCACTCAAGGCTTGAACTTGTGATTCTCCTGCCTCAACCTCTCAGAGTGCTGGATTTATAGGTGTGCACCACCGCACTAGGATTTATCTGTACTTGACATCTTCCAATGGCTCCAAATCCTTTGTGGCCTAAAAGTCTCTCTATGATGTCTCTTTCTCTCATACCCCTGTAGCTATACTGGAATCCTTGTTGTTGTTTTACTTTTTCCTGAGAAAGGATCTCACTATGTATTTCAGGCTGGTCTTTGACTTACTATGTGTTCCAGGCTGGCCTCAAACTCTTGATCCTCCTGCCCTAGACTCCCAAAGTGCTAGGATTACAGGTGGATACACGAAGCCTGGCTCCTTGCTACTCCTTGAGCAGCCCAGACCCCCTCTCATCTCAGCGCTCATATCTGTAGTGGGCTCACTCCTTCATCTCCTTCAGAACTTTGCTAAATTTACCTTCTCAGTGAGGTTCTCCTTGCGTGCACTATTTACAACCACAGTTTCCTTCCCGGGCTCTTTCTTTTTTACCCTGCGCTGTCTTTTTCCTACAGGCTTTTCCACCTTCTTACATGACACACACTTATTGGTTTGTTGTGTGCCCCACCTACTGGAAAGTCTGTTCCTGGTGGTCCCCAGGAGAAGGAAAATAGATAAAGCAGGCTGTGAGAGAGCGAAGAAGGTGGGATGCTAGACAGGGCCTAGGGGCTGAGCTGAGTCAGAGACTGGATTTTGGGAAGGCCAGGATTCATGAGGAAGAATATGGTTGGAGAGAGCTGCATACAGAGCATTCCAAAAACGTGTAGAAGGGTCTTCAAAGCTTTGGCCAAACATTGATCTGTACATGTTAGAAGTGATAGAGCACAAAGCTGAGCAAATAACTGGTAGAAAACAGTAGGCTGGCTAGGCATGGTGGTACACACTTGGCATCTCAGTATTTTGGAGGCTGAGGCAGGAGGATCATGAACTCAAGGCCAGCCTAGACTATGCAGTGAGTTCAAGGTCAGTTTAGACCACACAGTGAAATCCTGTCTCAAAACCACAACCAAGCCAAACCATGAAATAAGTCAGACTCAGAAGGTGAAATATCAAATGATTTCTTTTGTATAAGAGACCCAGAATATAAATAATTTAAAGAGCAAAATAAAAGATAGTTTATAGGAAACAAGGAGATGTTTGCAGATAGGAAGGGATAGAAAGAAAGAGGAGGGGAAGAGGATGTAAAAAGGATTATGAAGTGATAAGTTCATGTACCGATTCCCCTGTGACTAATGTATTCATTATGTATCACAGATATGTACTAATAAAAAATAAAACAAAACAAAAAGAAAGCAGCCAGTTGGCCAGTTCCTGGAGTCCACACACAGCTGGTGATAATTCAGATTCCCACCAGCTGGTAGAGGAAATTTACAGAACTTCAAATATTGGAGAGGGTCCTCAGAAAGCTATGGCCTCAGCCCTAGACAAAGGCTGCTCTGGACCCACTCTTAACAGAGCTTCCAGACAAGCCTTAAAAGAATTAAAGCTATTCCAAATAACTGCGAGCCAGAACAAACTTCAGCACTCTTTAAAGGAATAACACAAAATCCAGAATTTAGTAATACAAAATTTACAAATCCATCATCTAATTAAAAATTTATAGCCGTGTAATGAAGCAGGAAAATATGACTCATAACCAGAAGAAAAGTCAATCAACAGGAACAGGTCCAAAAAGAGAAAAATGACAGGATTAGTAGACAAGGATATGAAAGCAATGATTATAAATATGTTCCATATGCTCAAAAATGTAGAGGAAAATGTGCATAGGATGAAGAGATAAATAGGTTTTTCAAAGCCAAATGGAATTTATAAAGATGAAAATAGAATATCTGAATAAAAAAACCATTAAATATTCCAAATCATTCTGTTTCTGGGACTCCCAAAACCACACTGGGTGTACCCTCACCCCAGTGGAAGCACTTGCTCCCCTGTACCCTGAGATTGCTTTTGAGATGGCTACATTCACATTCTTAGTTCTCCAGGACTCTGAAGAAATGGGCTCCTTTTCTCTTTGTGCCCAAATGCAATGTGGATTTCAAGCGGCACACAGCACCCCCTCCCACATCCTCTGAGCACCTCACCTTCAGCCGTGAACCTCTCTCCAGTTTTTAACCCCACCATTAGCTGTGGTGCTCTTGTAAGGGGCGGGGGATCATCTGGCTTCTGCCCTGTGAGTCCCAAGTCTGGTGAGGTTTGCATACTGCAGTGAAGAACGGGGTCTGTGTAGATAAAGCACCTGGGGGGAACTTCACGAGGAGGGGAGGGAAGGCTTTGTGGGAGAGGTGGCATTTGTACTGGGTGGCAAGGATGGATATGGTCTGGGCCACTGGGAACTCAGGAACAGACACTCTGGGCAAGACTAGTCTTCAGTTGAATTTCCTCACTTCTGGCTTTCCCTTCCCATGTCTGTCTTCCTCACGGTCTCCCCCTTCCTCATGGCCTTCATCTGCCAGCTGCCAACCCTGCCACAGGCAGCCTTGCCTGGTCTGGGGCTTTTGGCAGCTCACTTCCCACCTCATCCCCCCCCTTCCCCTTCTCCTTTACACTGAGCACACCATGTTGAGGGTCTCCTGTTTCCTGCACTGACCCTCCAGGGTATTCTGGGGCC